ACTTAGTAATTAGAATCTAAGTTATAACCTACTAGGAACTTGGAAACAATTAGAAACAATGGATAATGTACTTAGATTTCACATTAATATGTGAATTCTACAACTACTTAACTATAGAGGCTATCCATATTCGGGTCACTCTTTGACTTGAACATCATTTCATTAATCATATACACCCATCTTGCACTTGACCTAGTAGTATAAATTAGGTCATAGTCTCATAGAAACTTAAGTCAACGTTGAAAACTAGGACTAGTATACTTCATTACCTCAATTGCGCTTGAATCTCGAAACCACTACATAGAAATGTCAATAAGCCAATAAAATAAGTTATAAACATTATTATAACTATAAAAGAGTTATAATACCATAAGATAAATTTAAGTCTCAAAGATTCTATTGATTTTGATATCCAAAGATTTACAAACTCTCAAAAACCCTAAATGCCCTAAAAACCTAAATTTATGAAATTTAACCTTAAAAATTATATAAAATAGTTATGAACCTTATAATATGATCTTATAATATTTAAAATTATAAAAATGCATTCATGGAAAATAAAATTTAACTCATTAACATTTACCCTTAATTTATAAATCAAAAATTAAGGTTTTATGAATAAAAACTTGATTTTAGTGCACATTTTATATAAAAATTGAGATATTTTATAAAAGAACTTAAATTTTATAAAAGAAAATGAATGATAAATGGGTATTATACTCAAAAATCCGGATCCTTCTCTCCCCATATCTCTCTCACACTCTCATTCTCCAACACACACACACACACACACATCTCTCTTCTTTCTCTCTCTAGAAAACTCTCTCTACCTTCTCTCTAATTTTTTTTCTCCAAACACCACTCCATTCTCTCTTCCTCCCTCTAAGAACCACGAAATGTTCCAGAAAAAAAACCCAAGAACACTCCTCAAACTCGAAATCTTCATCATCTTGTGGTGTTCTTGAAGGTAAAATCGATTTCTACTTCACTTTTCCTTCAAGTTTTGCTATTTTTCTTACACTCCTACTTCTTCATCTTCTTCAAACTTGTTTTCTTTTTGTTAAAATGGTTTTTAGAACATCATTTATGTGTTCTAACACCATGCATGTATGATAAACAAGGTTGCATGTTCATGATCTTAGTGCAAAAATCGATTTTAAGGACTAAAACATCAAACTCAAGTTAAGAGTTTTTGAGAAACAAAAAATTTGTTCATAAATACACGTATACATTTTGATAAGTTTTAATCTTTTGATCTCTAGAAACATGACTAAAATAAGAGTTTATCATGATATATTTAAAATATTTCAAAATATTTACTCAAGGAAATGATGAAAACTCACTTTTCTAACCAATCATCATGCATGCAATCTGCCAGATTTCTTTACCTGACTTTAAACTGTCATATCTCACTCATTTCTTAACCAAAATTCGTGATTCATTTTCTGAAATATAATGTTTTGAGTTAGCTTTCAGTCCCATTTGACCACACTGGAAAATTCCAATATTTCGATTTTTAACAATTTTTACAAAAACTGTTGCTCAAACAGCACTTTCCTTATGAACATTTGTTTTGTGTTGCATGTTCAAAGGACTTATTTATCACTAAAAATCATTAAAAAAATATTTTGAACTCTTAACATCATGTATTAAGATGTACAAAAAGATCTTGATTTAAAAGTCTTTGGAACATGTTGCAAAAATTCTCAAACTAACATCAATAATCTTTACCAAAATCACAAGAACCAAGTTTTCTCTATAATTTATTGAGCCTTTAGGCATGTTTTTCGACATCAAAAATAAGAAAACAATTTTTAATTGTTATTAAATTGTATGAAGATGTGTTCTGGAAATTTTCAGCTCAATATATATATATTTTTTTATTTTTACATGAAAATAATAAGAAAATAGGGTGTTAAATCATATAAAAAACTTCAAGTAGTAACTAAATTCTGGAAAAAGTGTTGGATGATCCTTTAAGTTAATAAACGTCTCCCATTAAGTTTCATCCATTTTTGTTACTGTTTAATATGGTTTTGAATTTTCTTTTTGTTTAGCTCTAATAAATCATAAAACCACATTAGGGAATATAAAAATGGTATCTAATAATTTTCGTAGCTTATACACTCTGTGGTAGACTTAGAAAAATATTTCCAGAAATTTTCATACTGTATTCCTATTTTTCTCCGATTTTTGTATTTATAATGGACCAAAAACAAGAAAAATAGTTTTACTCATCCAAAAATTATGAAAATGTACCAGAACAGCTTGTAGTACATTAGGAGGCTACATAAAAATTTTGATGATTTTTCTCTTCTGTATACTATTTTTCTTCTATTTTCCCAAGATTAAATACACTTAAACCCAATTTTTATTAGAATAAAGGCTCAAAAATCATAAAATTGGGTTAAACAGTTTAGAAATTTATTTTTATATTTTTTCCAGATTAATAATGTTTAATAACAGTGTTACAAAAATTTTGGGCAATTTTGGAAACTATTTTCTATTTATTTCAATTTTTATTAGAATAAATGCTCAAAAATCATAAAATTGGGTTCAACAGTTTATAAATTCATTTTTATATTTTTCCCAGCTAAATAAGTTTTAATAACAGTGTTACAAAAATTTTGGGCAATTTTGGAAATTGTTTTCTATTTATTTCAATTTTATTAGAATAAATGATTAAAAATCATAAAATTGGATTAAATAGTTTGGAAATCCATTTTTATATTTTTCTCAGCTTAATTATGTGTAATGGCAGTATTATAAAAAGTTTGGTGTATTTTGTTAACTGATTGTTATTTTTCATGAATTTTTATCTATTTACATAATTAAATATATGAAAAATGGTGAAAAATAGTGTTAGATTTCGATTAGAGACTCACTAGAGAATATCATTATTGTAGGAATCGATTGTGGTACGAGTAGAGCGTAGTCAAGGCACCATTTGCATCATCTCAATGCATATTGTGAGTATTCATGACTTCCCCTATTTTCGGTTTTTAAATGTTTTGGGGTGGAAAAGCATGTCCTAAACTATTTTTATGTTCGTTGTATTTATTTTGACTTGTATGAAACTTGGTTGCTATATTTCGTATGTATGTGTATGTTACTTTAATTCATGAGGACAGTATCGCGGTTAAGTCCCTGGAATCTCTAGACACAACTCATTAACTCTTTTGAGCCTATGGTTATTATGGATAGCGCTATCAGGAGGTAGACAACTCCTCACTCGCACGATTCGCTTGAGTGCATTTTACCATTTTATACACTATGTTTGCGATACACATAGTAGTCAATAGGGCACGATTCGGTCATTAGGCTTGGGTTGTGAACTCATGAATGGAAACTTGATGCACATAATATTCTTTATGCACATACGAAACTTGTATTCCCATGTTAGCAACGACACTTGTATACTTATTTTAGCAATAAAACTTGAATAGTTATTTTAGTAACGAAACTTGTTACTCATTATAGCAATAAACTTGTTTATTAATTTTATCAATGAACTTTTTTTCTCATTACAACAACGAACTTTTATTACTGAAAACTTATATACATGTTTTAGCAATGAAATTGTTTGCTCATTGTAGCAACGAAATTGATTGCTCATTTTAGCAATGAAACTTGTTTACTCGTTTGAGTAACGGACTTTATCTTCCATGAGAATATGAATGTTGCATCTTATTCGGGCAACATACTTTATCTCTCATGATGACAAAGAACTTTGTTTTTTACAAACTTATTTACTCCTTTTAACAATATACTTTTATTATTGGAAACTTTTATCAAAACTTTGATTTCAATTCACGAACGAATATTATTTTGTTAAACTTGTGAGTACTCACCAACTATTTTTATAGTTGACGCTCGTTTTACATGCTTTTTCAGGAATCATCGAGTAAGTCGCACTTAGGGACACTTCACTGTTAGGAGCATTCGCATGTCTTGTATTCCAATTTTCATTGTAATTTCTTTTAAAAGTTGTTCAAACTCATTGTAAATTTGTAATGATTTTTAATACTATGGTTGGTGTTGTCTTTTAACTTTTTCTATGAAACCCTTTATACTGCCACGCCTCGTGTTTCCGCTTTAGCGGGGTGTGACACCCGGCTCCTATGCTTTCACTTTTTCGAGAGCCACAAGTATCATATCACACAGTTCTTCATTCGCCATATTTTATTTTGTGATGACTTCTGATTTGATTGAACTTGGATTTGTATCTTTGATTTTGAGCTTTGAGTTCTCCAATCACTTTTTTTAATCTCTTAAAATTTCTTCGATTGGATGCTTGAAATTTTGATTTGGGTACTAGATGTGACAGTTGTACCCTTTCTTCCTTTTTGACTGTGTGGATCTGATACTTAAGCTCTCTGTTACCATGAGGGTAACGCGTGTCAACAAATAGGTCCGCGTTCTGTGGGTCCAGAGTTGTCGATAAATATTCTTTTTAAACATTCATAAGCAAATCATCCTAAAGTTGTTATTACCGCCCACAAAAACGTTTCAGTATGCCATTTTTTATTATTATCTAAAGTCAGGGTCTCAAATTACGATGTTTGGATCCCCTAGTTATGACAGCTGATTCTACACTTCCAATGATAATCCGGTGGCTTCAGATTTTTTTCATTTTGATTTTTCGTTTTCCCACTTCACGGAGCTATCAAATGTAAAGAGTGTCACCGTTTCGTATATAATAATTTTTTTTTATTTTTTTATTTTTTGAAATGCATGAAAATGGGGTGCAAAAACTTTTAAACTAAACTAGAGAGAAAAATATTTTTGGGTTTTATAGATTTTAAAATGCAGAGTGCAAGAAAAATAAAAAAAATATGAAAATAAGAAGGTTAAAATCTTTTTGAGCTTTTTTTAAGTATGAATATGAATATGAAAATACATGAAGATAAATGCATGAGGATGAACCTAATGTATAACTCTACCCCTCCCCAAGCTTAAATATAAGCATCGTCCCCGATATTTGGAGAGGGTGGAACAACCTATTGTGGAGGAGGAGGAGGAGGATAATAGTCGGAGTTTCGGGTCCAAGCCCAAAAGTCCTCCTCATGCTTGCGTTGGCGCTCTTGATCCCGAGCATATTGAGTGGTGAAGGAGGAAAAACTTTGTGTTAGGTTCGTGAGTTCTTGATGGTAGGAGTCAAGGCGGTTGTGGATCGATTGGAATTGATCCATGTATTGTTGGTGGTATGGCGGATGTTGAGCATCATGGGATGAGCTAGCTCCACCCATGGGAGGAGGATTGTGTGGTGCCTCGTTGCCACCCTCATCATCATCGTCATCATCCTCACTTTCTACACATTCCTCATCTTCTTCACCAGAAGAGGAGATGGGGAAAAGGTAGGGGTGATTTGCCAGTCGGTGAAGTTGGTAGGACGCTTGAGGGCAAGGATGTTTTGGTTATTAGGTGTGATGAGGATTTTTGGGTCGTGGTTTTGACCCACGGTCCAATTATGATGTCTATTCTCCGTCTGAAACATTCTCATGGACTCAAGTACTGCCATGGTGAGGTAGTGCTCACCGGACAGAGGTTGGTGATTTCTGGGGTATGGGGCCCGGATTGGAGCACTTTGGCAAACAAACTGACAATTCCACTATCACACCCCCAAACCTGAAAGGCGGAAACGTCTGAGGGTAGATGACTTCATGTTAAGTATCACAACAATTGTATAATATAAATCAAAGTACAACAACCATTGCATTAATAATGTATAAGTTTTACATCAGTGGCGCATCCACAAGCAAACGGACAGACAGAAGTATCCAACAAAACCATTGTGAACGGGATCAAGAAACGACTAGGGAAGGCTAAAGGAAATTGGAGTGAAGAGATACCAACAGTGCTATGGTCATATAGGACCACTCTGCGTACAAGCATGCGGGAAACACCATTTAGCTTGACATATGGAGCGGAGGCAATGCTTCCAGCGGAGGTGATGATAGGCACGTTAAGGACAAGCCACACTGACGAAGAGGCCAACTCTCAGGACCTCAGGCTGAATTTAGATACCCTTGAGGAGAGGCGAGAGAAGGCAAGCATACACCAGGCAGCATACAAACATGCAACAGAAAGATATTGCAACCAAAGAGTCAGGGAAAAAGCATTCAGATTGGGAGAATATGTGCTAAGAAAGAACGAGGCAAGTTGGGCTCAGTCTTAGGGTAAGCTGGGACTCGTATGGGAAGGCCCATATAGAGTTGTCGAAGCAAACCAGAATGGGGCGTACGCCTTGGAAATGATGGAAGAAAGACAGATACCAAGAACGTGGAATGCAAGGAATTTAAAGAAATTCTACTTCTAAAAGAAAGCTCCCACGAGAGGGCGATAAAGCCAGGGTATTCCTCTAAGTGAATGTCGGTGGATGGCTCGAGCGCCAAAGCGTAAGAGACCAAGATCGAGGCTTAAGTGTTTAAGCACCTTACAAAAGAAAGGTTCTGTTACTTGATGTGTTTAAAGACTTGTACTTAGCTTACAAATCTAAGCAATCAAAATGATGAAACTTGTACTTAGTGTACTGAACTCTTAATTTTATGATTGACGCACACAATGCTCAGTGCATTAAGTCCTAAATTCTGGCGCATTAAATTATAATGCTTAGTGCATTCAATATTAATACTTAGTGTATTAAATACTCAGTGTATTAAATTCTAGTGCATTCAGCCTTAATACTTAGTGTATTAAACCTTATGATCAACACATATGAGGCTCAGCACATCAGATTATGCAGAGGCTTAGTGCGTCGAGCCATCAATACATAACCCTTACACTCAGCATAAGGTCGAACGCTTAGAGTGTGGTCCTGTGACATTAATAAATCTAGCAACTAACAACATATGGAGCAATGAACACATAACAATCGCATAGCATCAACCATCAAAAGTTACACAGGAGTAACATCATCAACAAAGTAAAAAACAACCATACATGGAAGTCCAAAACATAAACATCAAACAAAGCAGCAAACACACACAAGTTTTCATGCCCCATATGGATAGCACACAAAATCTACACACCTCCGATCACATCACCACCACCACCATTTCCATCAACATCTCCCTCAACATTAACATTATCACCCTCAAGCCTAACAATATCACTCATGCCTCCAGCACTCTCAGAAACAATATCCTCAACACATCCTTGCTCGCGAACAACAGTTATGACATCCCTATTACCCTCACCACCCAAACAAGTGTCGGCATCCAAATGACTGCCTGCACCACCTCCACCACCACTTTCAATAACGACATCCTCGTCGCCAACAATTGTGTTGTTACCATGATCAACCCCCTCATTACCACTCGCCACATCTTCAGGAGTACCATCAGAATAAGAAAAAGCGCAAAGATCACGAACCCCCTGCATGTCCAATTCACCTAATCCCAACAATGAAGCATGATCCATACTAGCAAATGCTAAGAGAGCCTCATTGACACTAGTAACAGAGCCAGAAGCGGGGGCATCCACAAGGCCTTGGCGACCAGCATCAGCCAGAGCCTTGCGTATAGACTCTGCTCCAACAACAAAGGCGGCGTGAAGAATGAGGCTCACCACCCCCGTAAACTCCGGATGCTCGATCAGCTTATCCACGACTCGTACTGTGAACTCCTTTTAAGGTGTTAAGATGCCACTTAAACACCTCCTAAGCATTGGATTAAAGTCTAGAAGCAACCACAAACGAGTTAGGGGACTTAAACTTAATAAAAATCACTCCCTTAGGATTCCACGGCCATAAACCCCCCAAGGATAGGTTCCTAGGCCGTAAACTCATATATCTTAGTCAAATGATGCCCTAAATCCATTCCATGGCTTGTAAAATGAGTTTGAATCACATGTGATTGATCTAGGACCACCAAAACATATAAAGAAAGGGTAATTAGGAGCTTACGGCCGTAAACTCCTAGTTTACATCCATAAACTCCATTTAATAGTCCCTTTGGTGGTTTAATCCTTCCCTAAACCCTAGATTTGATCCTAGCCAAATTCCCCAAGTGATGTGTGACCTTTAAACACCTTAGAACACATCACCCATGAGTTTACGGCCGTGAACTCATGGGGACATGGTATTAGGGCCGAAAACTCCCTTAGGAGTTTACTCTTGAAGAGCAAACTCCATATCTATACCCTATATGTCCGTAGATGCCACCCGGGTCACTCCAAACACTTGATTTGAAGTGTTTTCGCATCTTGGAGTGTATAATCATATCTAATTAGTGGTTCAAAGTCTAATTAGATACAATTGTATATCATTTCATATTACATAGGAACCTCGCGCGTTATCAAGCCCCGAACTGACACTTAGCATCCAAACTGGCACGTTTTCCCGTCTGGTGAGTTCATACCCCTACACCTTTTTCCATGTTTTTCAATGTTTTCAGGGGGAATACAAGCAAAAAGTACAAGAATATCTTGTACTTAAACTATTTATTACATTTAAAATGTTTGATATTTACATGCTTTTAACATTGGAAACAGTATTAACCAACCGTTTAACCTGTACAATTAGTTTTCAAACTGTTTGTGAAACTCTTTATAAATTGTTATGTTTTATATTTCACAAATGATTTGTTCCATGTCATCACTGTTAAAAGCATTAGATTAGTACATTTGATTTGTCCTCGGTAACACTCCACAGAGATATGCGAGTGGAGGATCACCGTTTGTAACAGGATTTTTCCGTATTATTACTAGTAAATTTGTTATTCCTAAAAATTGGAGACACGTCCTCGGAAACACTCCACAAAGATACGTGAGTGGAGGACCGCCTCTGTAACCAGAATCTCTTAGAGAGGGAGCGTGAATTGAGTGTATAGATCTATACGGGGCTGACTACCCCGCACCTGGCTGCTAGCTACAGCCGGACCGAAAGGTCCATGGGTGACGAAAGTCATAAAATGATTTGGACTACTTATTGCTATATCTAGTCTATCGTATGGTTATGGAACTCGCAATTTGGATAACAGAGATTTACTTGTTAGTAATAATGAATTTAGTAACTAGTTTACTCTATACTTATTAGTTTTATATACGTGTTAAAACTAATGCACTACACAAGGATAACCAGGTTTTCAGAATACATCTCTTACATTTCATTTCAGATTAGTAACCAACTTTTAGGAAAATATGGGATTTTCCTGGGATAACAACTGTTCATAACCAGTATTGTGTAACAAAACAGATAACTAAACACTACTTTTAAGAAAATATGGGATTTCCTTGGATAACAACTCTTTCAGTAAACCAAAGGAAACTTGTTCATTTTCAGAAAACAAGCCGCTTATGAACTCACCAGCTTTATGCTGATTTTCAAACTTCTTGTATTCTCAGGTCCACATTAGACAGGTACCCATCGATCCTTTTGGCGAAGACGGAGTACATAGAAGACATGTCTTTACTTTTGTTCATATATACATATGTATAACACTTGTAACACTTTACTTTCAAACAAATGTAAATTTTCATTTGTAATGTAATGGTTGTTTACTTTGCTTACTATGTACATTGGTTGTGATACTTAACATGAAGTCACCTCCGTCGTAGAAGTTTCCACCTTCGTTTTCGGGGTGTGACAGATTGGTATCATAGCCCTTGTTTATAGTGAACTAAGTATACCAAACCTTACGTGGTATAAGACTATGAACACTAAGGGGCCTAAGTGCTCTGAACTAAAAGTATACTTAAAAATATAAGTATTTTCAAAATATACAAGTATACCTAACCGTCGAGATCCGTAACTACAAGTAGAACAAAACATAAGTAAATGGGTGTTGTACGTTGCGGTTAAACCTAGGCAGTTATGCAGTCGTGTCTAGGATCAATATAGTCTGATCAACTATATTCATTCGAGACATGGCCAACATGTGCTTGGGAGTGACTGTCGTATGCAGCATGCCTAAAACTTACCCAATACCCAAACAACGAACCATCGTCGCGGCGAAGCATGAAATACTATGGGAGTATTTCTCGAGCCAATCCGTGGTAGAAATCCTCATTCAAGCGTTGTTCCTTGATCATTCCTTTAGCGATAATTTATTTGCTTTGATAACTCTTTCCTGCTTTATCGCTTAATAGGAATCTATATCTGTCATATCTCTTGATTCAATTCAGAGGACTTACCATCCTCTCTTTCCTGATCTTTTTAGATCAAGATGCCTCCAAGAAAGAGACCCAGCTCAAAGACCAACAACCCTCTGCCACCACCTCCTCCTGAATTTGATCATGTGATGTTCCAGGCAGTTGTTACTACCGCAGTAGCAGCCGCCATGTCTCAAATGAACCCCGGTGGTTCCGGTGGTTCAGGAGGTGGTACCCAAACTCAAAACCAAGAAGGCAGTCAGGGACACCGAAAGGAGTGTTCCTACAAAGATTTCATGAACGCGAAACCCACATCCTTCGATGGCACTGGAGGTGTCATTACCCTCACCCGATGGTTCGAGAAAATCGAATCTATCTTTGAAATTTGTGCATGTTCTGAATCCGATAAGGTGAAGTTCGCCGCCTGCACCTTCACCGATAAAGCCCTGACTTGGTGGAATGGCCGAGTCAAATATCTAACCTTACCTGTAGCCAATGCCATGGGTTGGGAGGCCATGAAGGAACTTCTTCTTGCAGAGTACTGCCCTCGGGGCGAAATGCAGAAATTAGAGCACGAACTTTGGAACCTGAAGATGAAGGGTTCCGATATCGCCGCTTACACTTCCAGATTCGATGACTTGGCGCTACTCTGTCTGGGAATGGTTACCCCGGAGAGTAAAAAGATAGAGAGATTCATATGCGGGGTGACCCAGCCAACCAAGGGAAACGTCTTAGCTGCGAAGCCAGATACATACGACAGCACCAAAAGCCTAGCGCAAACTCTGATTGACCACAGCGATGACCATGAGGAAGCAACCACCACTCCTGAACCGACCAAGAGGAGTGGTGAGAAAAGAAAGTTTTTGAAGAAAAAGAAGAGTCAGCCTTCTCAAGGATCCTCAAAGAAACAGCAAACTGTAGCAGACCATGTTGTTACTATCCTTGCTGCTGCTGCTTCTGCCGTGGGATCCACAACTCAAACACCTACTAGTAGGTATGCTGGTAACCTTCCCAATGTGACAAGTGTAAATACCACCATAACCCCGACCCCTTCCGTGAACTGTCATGCTCCAACTGTGGTAAAAAGGGGCATACGATTCGATTCTGCAAAGCACCAGCCCAATCAACCAATCAATCGTCCGGAGCGGGTGTCGGTAAGGCCTGCTACAGTTGTGGGGAAGTCAGGCTTTTCAAGAAAAACTGCCCCAAGGCGACAACAGCTGGTAACACTGGGAGACATGTTGAGAGCATGTGTCATCGACTTCGAAAAGTCGTGGGACACACATTTGCCTTTGATCGAGTTCTCGTATAGCAACAGATACCACACCAGTATCAAGGCTGCTCCGTTCAAAGCCATCTATGGTCGCAAGTGCAGATCCCCTCTGTGTTGGGCCGAGGTAGGAGACACACAGCTAGCCAAGAATCAACTCCCCGATAGTGCTCTCACTGGTCCTGAAATCATTCGTGAAACCACAGAGAAGATTATTCAGATTCGAGAACGACTGAAAGCTTCACGAGATCGACAGAAGAGTTACGCCGATATACGACGGAAACCTCTGGAATTCCAGGTTGGAGACCGTGTCCTGTTGAAAGTATCGCCCTGGAAAGGCATGGTACGCTTTGGAAAGCGTGGAAAACTTAACCCGAGGTACATTGGACCTTTCGAGATCCTCGCCAGGATCGGTCCTGTAGCCTATAAACTTCGATTACCCCATGAGCTTAGTAACATCCATCCTGTCTTCCACGTCTCGAATCTTAAAAAGTGTTTATCCGACGGAACCCTCGTCATCCCTCTGGACGAGATCGAGATCAATGAAAACTTGAACTTCGTGGAGGAATCGATCGAAATCATGGATTGAGAGATCAAACGCACGAAACAAAGTCGCATCCCGATAGTGAAGGTTCGCTGGAATGCCAAGCGGGGACCGGAATTCACTTGGGTGCGCGAAGACTCGATGAAACAGAAGTATCCACATCTCTTTCCAAATCCATGATTTGTATCTTAATTTTGAATTTCGGGAACGGGGGGATAATGTGACAACCTGAAGTTCGTTCTGTCATTGTAACCCGTTCCGTCAATAAAATTCATCGTTTTCGAATTGTTTCCATTTCGTTTCTAAATTAACTCATTAATTTTGAGTTTGCTATTATGACTTAATGGGTGTCCAAACACATTAGAAACTCATGATAATACCCCATTTTAGTAATCAGAGAATTTTAGTTTCGATCATATCGGGTTACTACAACTTAATCGGGTGCGACCAAAAGCCTCGTCTAACGTCAGTATCGGGTAGAATTCCACCGTGTCCCGAACTTGATTCATATTTAAAGTTCAAATGACCTCATTATGAAGCTTTTTACCCTCTCTCACTACTCTCTCTCTCTCTCTCTACAAACTCAATTCTTGGTCCAAAATCATCAAATTCAAGCTCCAAATCGACAAGGTAACTATCCTAACTCATAGTATAACCTCTTCAGCTTTCAAATCCGTGTTCAAACCATGAATTAGGGCCATCATCATGTGTTTACGGCCCTAGAACAGTCGTGGGCCGCAAACACACATATAAGGGGTTTTTGAGCCCCAAAACCCTCCCAAAACACTTTTAGAGCTTGGAAATGACTTAAGGACTTATTGGAATGGACTTGGAACACCATGAACTCAACATTTAGGGGGTAAATATGATTTTACATCCCAAGAACATGCTTGGACCATAAACACCATTTCATGGGCAGTAAACTCCTTTTAAGGTGTTAAGATGCCACTTAAACACCTCCTAAGCATTGTATTAAAGTCTAGAAGCAACCACAAACGAGTTAGGGGCCTTAAAATTAATAAAAATCACTCCCTTAGGAGTTCACGGCCGTAAACCCCCCAAAGGATAGGTTCCTGGGCCGTAAACTCCTATATCTTAGTCAAATGATGCCCTAAATCCATTCCATGGCTTGTAAAATGAGTTTGAATCACATGTGATTGATCTAGGACCACCAAAACATATAAAGAAAGGGTACTTAGGAGCTTACGACCGTAAAATCCTAGTTTACAGCCGTAAACTCCATTTGATAGTCCCTTTGGTGGTTTAATCCTTCCCTAAACCCTAGATTTGATCCTAGCCAAATTCCCCAAGCGATGTGTGAGCTTTAAACACCTTAGAACACATCACCCATGAGTTTACGGCTGTGAACTCATGGGTACATGGTCTTAGGGCCAAAAACTCCCTTAGGAGTTTACTCTTGAAGAGCAAACTCCATATCTATACCCTATACGTCCGTAGATGCCACCCGAGTCACTCCAAACACTTGATTTGAAGTGTTTTCGCGTCTTGGAGTGTATAATCATATCTAATTAGTGGTTCAAAGTATAATTAGATACAATTGTATATCATTTCATATTACATAGGAACCTCGCGCGTTATCAAGCCCCGAACTGACACTTAGCATCCAAACCGACACGTTTTCCCGTCTGGTGAGTTCATACCCCTACACCTTTTTCCATGTTTTTCAGTGGTTTCAGGGGGAATACAAGCAAAAAGTACAAGAATATCTTGTACTTCAACTATTTATTACATTTAAAATGTTTGATATTCACATGCTTTTAACATTGGAAACAGTATTAACCAACCGTTTAACCTGTACAGTTAGTTTTCAAACTGTTTGTGAAACTCTTTATAAACTGTTATGTTTTATATTTCACAAATGATTTGTTCCATGTCATCACTTTTAAAAGCATTAGATTAGTACATTTGACTTGTCCTCAGTAACACTCCACAGAGATACGCGAGTGGAGGATCACCGTTTGTAACAGGATTTTTCCGTATTATTACTAGTAAATTTGTTATTCCTAAAAATTGGAGACACGTCCTCGGAAACACTCCACAGAGATACGCGAGTGGAGGACCGCCTCTGTAACCAGAATCTCTTAAAGAGGGAGCGTGACTTGAGTGTATAGATCTATACGGGGCTGACTACCCCGCACCTGGCTGCTAGCTACAGCCGGACCGAAAGGTCAAAGGGTGACGAAAGTCATAAAATGATTTGGACTACTTATTGCCATATCTAGTCTATCGTATGGTTATGGAACTCGCAATTTGGATAACAGAGATTTACTTGTTAGTAATAATGAATTTAGTAACTAGTTTACTCTATACTTATTAGTTTTATATACGTGTTAAAACTAATGCACTACACAAGGATAACCAGGTTTTCAGAATACATCTCTTACATTTCATTTCAGATTAGTAACCAACTTTTAGGAAAATATGGGATTTTCCTGGGATAACAACTGTTCATAACCAGTATTGTGTAACAAAACAGATAACTAAACACTACTTTTAAGAAAATATGGGATTTTCTTGGATAACAACTCTTTCAGTAAACCAAAGGAAACTTGTTCATTTTCAGAAAACAAACCGCTTATGAACTCACCAGCTTTATGCTGATTTTCAAATTGCTTGTATTCTCAGGTCCACATTAGACAGGTACCCAGCGATCCTTTTGGCAAAGACGGAGTACGTAGAAGACACGTCTTTACTTTTGTTCATATATACATATGTATAACACTTGTAACACTTTACTTTCAAACAAATGTAAATTTTCATATGTAATGTAATGGTTGTTTACTTTGCTTACTATGTACATTGGTTGTGATACTTAACATGAAGTCACCTCCGCCCCGGAACGTTTCCGCCTTCGGTTTCGGGGTGTGACATGTACAAGCCCCACTCGTAACAACCAGTTCAGATCACGCTGCACAACATTCACATTTGACTGCAAATCAGCAACTACCCGATCATGATCAATTGCATCATGTTCAAGACTTTCAACTTGAATCATTTAACCCTCGTTAACCTGAGAGAGAGAGAATCAAATTTTTCTTCCAAACCAGACATGATCTCTTCCATGGCAGCTTTCTCAGAGGCAAGAAGCTGGTACTTCCGCTCCGAACGCTGAAGATCATTGTTACGTTTCGAAATACGGCGCTCCAACTCAGTAACACGAGCCCCACAACCGGTGTGTGTCGTTCCACTTCGCTGAACATCTGAATACGTCGTGCTCCGGCAACAAGATAAAACATGGACTACGCGGCAGTGTAGCTCATGTTATGAGAAAGGCCAGGACTACCCATAACCTCCATATCAGTAACGGCGGCCGGAGGAAAGGCATGTCGGGCAAACTCCAAAGCATTAGCACAAACAGAAAAACGAGACTTATTGTGAAGATTCCAAGAGGGGATAAAAGGAGAAGGCCCTGAAGGCTCCCCACCCAAGTCCTTGAGGGGAGAAACAGGAGTTGGATCCGGATCACGAAGGTCCTTTGAAGGAGAAGGATTGACAGAAGAAGAAGGAATGACCTGATCAGGAACAATGGGTTGTTTATACACCCCACCATTCCCTTCAGACTGTGAAGTGTCATCATTAGGGATTACAACAATGGCTGTCGGTGACGAAGAAATTGAGATCAGAAGGCGCGAAAAGCTACGCCTAGTCTAAACTCGCTTGGCAGCATTGGGCGCACCGACAACTGACTCCCCCATGGCCAGAATGGCTTTCCGCTTGGCTTGCAGTCACCGTACATCAGCGATAACATCATCCTTGCTATCCTCGTCACCCTCGGAGGAAGTATGGTGAGCACCACCCAAAGGCATGACGGAGGAAAGAGGACGAACTACAAGGGGGTCCACTTTGGCAGATGACAGATTTTCGCTCATCGATGGAGGAATAGGCATAGCAGCAGTCAGAGCAAGCTGATCCAAGCGGTGGGGAGGAGGGAGACGATCAACCATATCCACTTCTTGATGCTCCAGTTTACCTTGTAGCATTTCCAGAGCACCTCATCCATAGACAAAGGAGACTCGTTGCCTAGAAATATCAAGACATCAAAGAAAGAGTCAGGAGGGGAGACCTCTAAATAGTAAAACCCTAGCACTGATAAACAAAGGGAAAACACTGGTACGTACCACCAACGACAAGGAAGAAAACTGCCATTTTACCGCGAAGCCTCCAAGACAGGCTCATTCCTACACCGGCGAGAAGGGCCTCAGAATAATCCTCAGGAGATACCTGGACATTCTTAAGAAAATCGGCCACGCCCTGGTTATGGGGAAAGAGTTTGGGGGTAGTATCAGCAAAAGTATTAGCACGGTAGCGTCCGCTACCCACCAAACCCTGATTAACCCAAAACCACTTGTCTTGTCGGTTTTTGGCGTTCAGCCGTCAGGCACTAGAGTATGTCCTCCCCGACGAACGGAAAACGTGTATTTATCACCGGTGCAACAAAAGTGGAAGAAGTACTTAAATACGAAATAATCAAGAAGATACCCGTTAGCCCGGCAGATCATTTCAAAAGCAACAACCTTGTTCACAGCATTTGGTGTTAGCATTTGAACGCTGCAACCGTCTCTTTGAAATACGTCCTCCAGGAAATCAGTTAAGGGGAGACGAAGGCCAGCATCTAGGGTTTTTTGGTAGATCCCGACTTTTCCGGGAAGGGGGGAGAGGATAGAAGAACCTGGTGAAGGAAACTCCACACTATCGAGAGAAGTGAGACCATAAGTGGTTTCAAGATACGAGTATTCAGAAGCAGGGGCACAATGCCTGGGGGACTCGCCATGGAAGGAAAGAAAAGAAAATGGAGTTGAAGAAGAAGAAGAATAGAAAGGAAAAGGAAACGTAGATAAGAAGTTATGATGAACACTCTTATAAGAAAACAGAAAGGGCGGGATGTTCAAAATGTCTGAAACAATGACGTAACCGTCAGCCATCACGAGTTGTCACGTCACCATTAAAACCGGAACGGCGAGCGAACGGGGAAACAACACGCGTAAGGCTATCAAGCCCAAAACGTTGTATCGAGTAGTACAACGCTACGGCTACTCGACTGGGGACTTGATGACGTGCCTAAGCCGGCACGGAAGAGTCACGCCCGGCCGAGAAACCTAGCGCCCTGGCCGAGCCAAGAGAAGCGGGCTCAGCGCCCGCTAGCACCCCTAAGAGCAGGGCGCCCCGGTGAAAGGCTCGCGCCCGCCAGGGACGCTCCCAGCATCAAGACAAAGGATATAGTCAAGCGACAAGGAAAAGGATCATAGCATTATCGTCGGAGCCAATGGCAGTACTCTAACAGAAAGAGGCGCACAATCCTCCAATTAGCGCCTCTGACCTTGTCCCCTAAAAGCGATCTTGTCCCGTATGGACGAGCAGGGTCGCTAGGTATAAAAGGGCGCGCTCAGGAGCCCCTAAAGGTAGGCATTCTTATCAGAGCAATTCATACCGAAAGCACCTCAAACTTCATCAAACTTGACCGTCGGATCGTTCTTCCGGGAGCCTCCTCCCGAGAAGCGGTTGACGGCTGTTTTCTCTTGTGACCTTGCAGATACCTTCTAGCGCCAGACCAAAGATTGAGCAGGAGCTGTGAAGGAAGTTCACATCATACAGCAAAACGTATATACATTACTTGCCAAATTATCATCAAATATCACTATATGAAGCAAGAATTGTATGTATAAGCAATTTAAGGTGATCCACAGGTGACCAGTAAGGATGAGAGTTGTGTTGGACCGATACTGAACCTTTAGTCTTCAGCTTCTGTGAACAGGGAAGTCCATATCTGATCAATTGTGAGCAACATGGTAAAAGTGATTGGAATGACATTTTTTTTTGAATAGCTAACAAAGAAGACTTGGATTACAGAAGGCGACGTACGCAGAAAAAAAAAGATTTTTACATAACAAATAAGGGATGCTTACTCGATCGCCGATATTGCACTGATTTTGTTCATCGTGGGCCATGAACTTGGAGGTGCGTTTGACATAACGATTGTAGTGTTTATTCTGGAAGTGCCTGTCGACAGCGACCACCACCGATTTTTTCATTTTGTTCGACACCACCATTCCGACCACTGATTTCATCGTATTCGCACAAATTCAACGATCGATTATGTCCTGGAGGCAGCGGTCGTTTCTATCCTGGAGGCGGCGTCTTGGTTGAGAAGTAAGGAAGAAGGAGGTGATGATCAGTAAGGAAGAAAGGGAGAAGAAGAAGAAACCTAGGTTTCTTGATGGGTGGAGATCAGAAGTAGATGATGGCGGTGGGTGGACACCCATGTGGAAGATGAGCCGTCGGGTGCACGAAGTGACCGGGTCGCGGCGCGTTGATTGCTGATCGGTGACATTAATCGGCTGATTTTTTTACCAGTTTTGACTTTTGGTCAAACTTGTATAGATTTGAGTTATATCATTTGTATGATAGGATGTAGGTCTATTGTTAGTATGTTGATTTTACAAGTATATTAGAATTGTCTTTTGTATGTTGATTGCTTGATTGTATGATATGTTGATATCACTTTTGAGGAGTTAGATGGTGGAATAGCGTTAGGTTGTAAGCGTAGATAATCGACCGTTGATGACAGAGCACAACTAGGTCATGAGGTCGACTGTTGATGATGGAATGACAGTCGATTGTTGATGACGGAATGACACTAGGCTGTAAGTCAACTGTTGATAACAGAACGGCATTAGGCTGTGAGTCAACCGTTAATGACAGAATGACATCAGGTTGTGAATTAGGCTGAATGACACGAAGTCGTGAGTCATTGTTTGTATGTATTGTATGTGTATTGTGGTATCTAGTATTTTGAAGAACTCATTAAATTTATGCTTACAGTTATTATTGATTTAATATTTTCAGAGTGCTAGAGAGAAAAGTTTGGTGCGGTTGTACTGCACTTGCATTGATGTTTGATATTATGCTGAGACTTTTGATGATGTTTTTATGATTACTCTCTTTAATACTACGGTATATGGATTTTTAAGCAGACGATTACTCTAAATTTTTTATGAAAATGCTTTTAGGATTGTATAACTCTTTATTTTATTTTATTTTTAAAATTTTGGAAAATTATGATCGTTATACACACCTTAACTGTATCATTTTCCTGGACGTGACTTTATCTTCAACCCTCTTTCAACACTAGATACCAATATAAGTTGATGAATAACAATAAAAACGAGTAAATGCAAAAATAATAATAATAATAATAACATATTTCTATTTATTTGTGTAATACAACTAACAGCCTCCTACTCTCGTTTCTTTCTATAACATTCATATGAAAACATTGTGCTTTAAAATGTGTACCTAGTTATAATATTGTTGATGTAACCCTGATTGAGATATTACAGTTTGAACTTTGAACAATTTAGCAAAAATTACTTTGTATTTGAATCATACATTGTTACAGTGGCAAGTACAATGGTATAATAAGATGAAATAAAAGTAGAATGCTATACATAATAAATAGATGAATGAAGAAATACAGACTAGAAAAAACAAAACAAAACAAAAGATATTGATGTTTCAAGTAATAATATTAAAGTCAGAAGTATTTGGTTTAGTACATGGTAAGAAGCATATTATAATGTACAGAGATAACATAACAATGTTCCTAAGCAGTCGAGTCGAGTCCAGTCCAAGTCCCACTTTAAATCAAACAATAATAGCATTTACAAAATATATATTATATTATATATATGCCACAGCCCACAATCCAAATACAGGAAAGCAATAAGGCTCAGATGTTCATAAAGGCATCATCATCATCTAGCAAGGCGTCAAGATCAATCAGGTCCTCATCAAAGTCAATGGCTTCTTCTGAACTCTCCAAAGCCTTATCATATACAGCCTGCCCACAATCGTTGTTAGAGACAGTGAACTTGAAAAAAAAAAAACGGTCCTACTTTTTTTGTGAGGACATAAAATTGAAATTTTTGTATCCTATTAACCTTTTTGGATGGATGGATTGAAATTTTTGTCCCATTAACATCAGGATCAGTTGTCCAAGCTTTTTTTATAGTATTGACATTGACATTGACATTTTTAGTAGGGCAATGCAATTACAATTACAATTACAATTACGTACCTTACTTTCCTGCATGTCATTGACAACATTAAGCAATCTACGGTACTGATCTCTTGCCTCAGGGTACTGAACCATGGACTTGACTCTTGCAAGGGCTTTCTGCAGTCGCTGCTCTGTTTGCTTCCTTCCTTCTTTGAAGAAGTCATCATCCTCCTCCTTTCCAGATTTAGCCACTGTTGTGTTGGTGTTGGTGTTGGTGCTGGTGCTGCCTTCAGCCACTGGTTCCGGCTTAAACCCTCGCAAACCGCTTCCTTTACGCCTCCACCGCAAAATCACCTTGTCTAGTATTCCCACCGACCACACTATCTTTTTGTAGTTTTTCCGAACCTGATGCCCTCTAACATGTGCCTACATCAATCAATCAAATTTTAAATCCACTTCAATTATATTTATCGCAATAATGTAATCCCAGTATTTCAAAATATAATTTTCTAAAATAAATAAAAGAAAAAGTAGACCTGAATTTTGACGATTCTTTGCCTCATCATCAAAAAATCTTTCCTCCCTTTCCAACTTCTAAACTTATTCTGTATCCTGACAGCAGCAGCAGCAGCATGTACAGGCTCATCATGCTGTCCTCCCATCCTAGATGTCTTTAAAGCCATGGAAACCGCGCGCTCCTCTGTCATTTCAAACTCACCGCCTTTCATCTGCTTCTTTTGAAACGACTGAACCCTAAACACTTGATGGATGCGGGCGGCAGCTTGGGTGGCATTACAGACTGCCGCCAGTGAGTCCTTCAGAGACAGGCCTTGCGGCATGTCCCCGTACCCGGGTGGTGTTGGGGTCCTCTCGGAGACTGTTTGTACGGCTTTGGCTCTGGAATCACGGTCTTTTAGTTTGAGCTGTTCGAGGTGGGTGCTTAGGGCGGCTTCCGCACAGTAACCGGCGATTCCTTTGTCGCCATTGGCGGAGGCCAAGTCTGCAGGTGTTCTGCCTGATGGGTATGTTGGAGATGGATCCGTTAATGCACCCGCTAATGCACCTTCTGAAATCAGGAATGCTACTGTACGCTCTCTGTAAACATCATCAACAACAAGAGTTCATTCATTCATAGATTTACAAAATCAAGATTTTATTTTTTAACAATATGCTTCTTCTATCATCATCTAGCACACAGACTTAAGATGGATGGAATGAAGTGGAATAAGCAATGTAATGGAATGACTAATGAGCCACTACATTCCATTCCATGATAACGTTTGGGGTCGGCCTCTAGGAATGGAATGAATATTTCATATTATATGTATAAACAACATATAGTTTTGATTCTACTCTATACATTATTTACTTGTAAATAAATAGTTTAATATCAATAAAAATAAAAACATGCTAAAGCTCATTAAAACCCAAAGATGTATATATTTCTAGTTATTCTCAGTTTGTAATTTAATATAGATCATGAATTGTTTTTAGAAGAAGATTTGTGTCATTTACATATCATGGTGGAATGAAAAATAATCACAATCCTTCATTCTAACTTTTTTTTAATTCCACTACAACAATCCATTTCATTAGTTCCCGTTTCCATCATACCAAACATTTGGTATGAAGGGATAGAATAAGAAAAGAATGGAACAGGCAATGTAATGGAATGGGTTATTGCATTCCACCATCATTTTTGGTTGGCTTGAAGGAATGGAACGATCCATGGAAGGATGTTTTACACACCTAAATGAAATTAAATAGATAAACAGATACAAATATATTATTTTATAGAAATAAGACAGACGTTAATCAAATTAAGATATACCACTATATAGGTTACATGTAAATTTTACTCGATGTTTGTTTAAAATATATTACACATATTTAAAAAAATAGTCAGAAATTGTTATCCATCCCTTTAAAATATAAAATTTAATTAGATACCATTAATTCTCAAACTAAATGATAAAAAATATATTTTTAGTTATTTTTGGAAAATGATAAAAAAATATATTTGACTAAAGATTCGAACTTTTCTTAATTATTGAAGACTACATAAATAAAATAAAAAGGGCAAATGGCATAGAAATAGCAACATACTTTATTTTTACCCAAAATAGCAACATACTTACCGATTTCCACAAAAAAAATGTAAGTGGGTTGCTATTCTAAGAAATAAAACAAAGTACATTGACAAAAAAATATCTTGCTATTTGAATCAAATTGCTCGGAAAAAAGAAAAAAAAAATCATCCCATTCCTACGCCCAAAATGTTTCCATTCTATCACAACCCTTGATTCCATTCCACCTTTGATCATATAGGACTTGCTAGCAAACCATAAAACTTAAAAATAAATAAATAAATAAAGGGAATTACCTGCCACAAGATGCAGCCCAATGGAGAGCAGTCCATCCATTGACATCACGGAAGTTAATACTAACACCGGCAGCAACCGTGGCCGGAATAGCCCAATCATAACCAAGAGCCGCTGCAAAATGCAGCACCCCCTGCCCCCCTTCATCCAACACACTCGGGCCTTTCCCACCTTCTCCCACCTTATGAACAAGCCATGCATACAGCTTCTCTTTAAGCAGCCTTTCAAGAAGCTGATTCCGTGCTTTTTCAGACGGGTATTGCTCCCACTCTCTATCATCCTCCTGAATCAGCCTACTAAGTTGGTTCAACAGTTCAGGGTCAACCACACTTTGGGCAGAGTTTCGGGCAGTCTCCGGTCCAAGTGATAGTAGTTTCACGAATCGCATATGGAGAAGCGTCCCATTAGAGTTGTCACCACCACCATTGATGTCTTGAACACCATCCATGTCTTGACTGAGATTCTCATTGACTTTGAATTCGAATTCGCGTACTTCACTGCATGCGACCCTATTGGAACATGTGACATAAAAATGGACCCTGCCCGACTTGTGCCCAGGGGTGTAACAACGAAGAACACCATCTGCTACGACTTCTGCAGGCACTTCTAATTCTCCAAACATGCATGCCCATTCACAGTGTTGTAATTCTTGTTGACTCCTTAGGAATCTTCCAGTTACTAAAACCTGGTGAAAGTACCTTCTCATTTAGTCTAATTTATACTTATATAATAGAAACCATATAACCGGAAAATAATTTTTTTAAACGGTTAAAAATACTTAATACAGTGGTTAAATTGACAATCAGTATTCCAAATCTGACAATTATAAAGCACAATATGAAACTTGTTAGAAAAACTACATTTCTTTTATTGATCTTACTTA